TTTATCATTTTTACATAATTCTTTATTGACTCTTTGGAAATTTCACATCATGCACCCCAATCCCACTCATTTCCCAGTCTTTTTATATCTACTCCACACCTGGGTAGCTTGCCTCTCAAAATTAATTAAAAACAAAACAAAACAAATCTGGGCTGCTCCTCCATCTTTTCAACACCTCTTCATTCATCCGAGCGGCATAGGAAGCTGCAGTGTGCCACTCAGTATGTCCTTCTGTCCAACCATCCCCACCAGCAGAAGGTTCATTGCAATGAGTCCTCGGTCTGGTTCAAGGCCTCTTCCACACCATCATCACTGGGGGCATTGAAGCACACCTAGGAAATCCCACTGTTGCCCTGAGTCATGGAGATCCTGCTGCTCCACAGGACCGGGCCTTTAGCACCCTCCAGTCGGTCCCTGATGGGGCAGTTGTTAATGTGGGGCAACCCAAGGCCCAGGATGTGGGTCTGGGTGGTCCTGAGCTGGTTGGTCTGGGCCACTGGGTTCACCCTCTTAGGCAAGGGGCAGAGCCAGCTCTCCCATGCCTGTGGTGAGGTTTGTGGTCATCTCTCCTGAGTGTGTATGTGGGGTGGGGGGGTTGGTCAGCACCCCTGCTGCAGTGTACAGCAAGGGGGCAGGAGCAGCTATCCCGGGGCCAGTGAGAGGCAGGGCTGGCTCAGCACTGCCCTTTGATTTCAACACACATGGTTCCTATGACCCCCTGTGGTAACTTGAGTCATGGACATCAGCCTGGATCCTGGCTGCTGTTGGACCATGAACCCAGACATGGCCCACAGCAGTAGCCCAAGCCTGAATGATACTGTGGCCTGGTGAAGCTCTGTGGGCCAAACAGACTTGCATAGTCCTGGTTGCAGCATGGCCCTTGGATACCAACATGGCCGCAGGATGCAGCCTAGACCATGGGCATCTGTGTGGCCACAGGGGCATCATGGGCCATAGACATCAGGGACCCCCAACTGTGATAGGACCATGGACCCAGTCATGGTCCCCAACAGCAGTCTGGGTTCTGACATCACCATGGCCACAGGTGGCAGCACAGTCCACTCAGATCAGCATGGCCCCTGCAGCAGAGTAGCTCTTGGACATCAACAGGTGACTGCCCAGACCCCAGGCATCAACATGGCCTTCGACGGTATCAGGAGCCATTGGCATCAACTCTGGCTACAGTAGGGCCATGAACCCAGACATGGCCCTTGGAAGCAGCCATTGCCCTAGTGGCAGCATGGTCTCAGACACCAACGTGGCCACAGGATATAGCCTAGACTCTTGATATCTGTGTGACCTTTGGTGGCACCACAGGCCAGGGATATCACAGACCCCAACTGTGGTAGGACCGCAGATCTAGAAGCAGCCCTCAGCTGCAGCCTGGGCCTGGATGTCACCATGTCACCTCATGGCATTGAAGGCCACTCAGATCTGTATGTGACCCTGGCAGTAGCATGATCCTCAGATCTCCACCTGGCCTCAGGTAATGGCCCAGACCCCGGGTATTGCATGGCCTTTAGTGGTAGCAGGAGCCATCAACCCAGTCCCTGGCTGCAGTAGAGCCAAGGACACACCTGGGCTCAATGTCACCATGACCCTGGTGGCACCACGGGCCATCCAGATTGGCATGACCCCAGTGGCGGTGTGACTTTTAGACACCAACATGAGTGAGTTTCATATTATAACCTTTTAATTTCAAATGGTCCCATTTGTTAATTTGTCCCATTTTCTTAATGACTGGAGCCCTTGTCAGAGAGACCTCCCCTGTGCTTGCATCAGGAAGTATTTTCTCCTCTTTCCCTCTCGCAGATCCAGGGTTTTGAATGTTGTGTTGATGTCTTTGGTGCATTTGGAGTTGAGAGCTCTGCAGGGTGAGAGGAGAGGATTGTTCTTCTACCTGCTGGCATCCAGTTTATCAGCACCACTTGTTAGCGAGGTGTAGTGAGCCGGACAGGATCGCCATTACAAGATGGCACCGACATCCTGTCTTGTTGGAAATAAACAACTCCATATTTGGCTATGCCTTTGAGAGCTGCGCGTCCCCCGCTTCCCTCATGCGCAGTGGATGAGGATCCTTGAGCCTATCCCAATGCGGTCTGGTGTCAGCTGTTGGTGGCAGCCAATCACAGGGCAACCCATGTGCCATTTCCCTATTTAAGCAGCTGCCTAAGAGCCCTTCACCCCCTTCGCTTCCTGCTGCCTCTCCCCTTCGTTCCCTGCCCCTCCGCTCCCTGTCCCTCGTTTTCCCGCCCTCTCGTTCCATGCTCCCCATCAATCAAGGGCACTCCAGTAAAAGCGTGATCTGAGTGGAATCCTGGTGTGGTGGTCATTCTTCGTTGCCGGTCGAGAAGTCTGCCACAGCGAGGCTTTCTCTTTGCCAGTGAATAAGTATTGTCACCAATGAGTGTTTTGCTTGTCATTTTACTGTAGAACAACTCCTCTATTTTATCATCTAAAACATTTTCCACCCAAAGATTCTTAGTCAATAAATTGTTTTAAGCTAGAACATATTTGATATGCTACTCAAGAAATACATTAAAATAATTTCAAGCTCTGTTGCTGCAGTATGAAAACACTGCAAGAATAGGTGATTAATTTATCTTAAAACTTCATGGTTGGATTTATAAATCTTAGTCTGTTTTATTAAGGTGTGGTCCCAGAAGTCTGGAAACCATACACTTTCTACATATACTTTGTAGAATCATTATAACTTGGACAGTTTAGACGAGACAAAAAAAAGAAACAAGAAGTAAAATTAAATTTCCTGATTTTAAATAATCAAATAATGTTTTAGTAACACTTGATTATATGCATTTTTATACATAGTTTGTATTTACGTCTTGTGTGTAGTTTCTTTTCTGTGTCCTCAAATATTTATTGACCAATCGTGTGACTTTTCTGGGGAGATGTAAAATTATTATCTACACTTAACCTCTGACCTTTGACTCATTAAGCTCATATTAATGAATAGAAATGAATCTATTAACGATTATTCATAGAGCAATGCAAGACCCCAGATGTCTACAGGGACTCCCTTATCTGAAGTTGCCCCCACCCTCTCTCACCAATCTCATAAATCCTTTGACTTTGTCTGCCTTTGAATTGAAAGAAACTTTGCTTCCTAGCGCCACCTAGTGTGAAAGCAGCAGACGTGATCCAGGCTCAGAGGGTAGTCAGTTCTTGCCCTTATCAGAGGTTCTGGGGTTTGAACAAACACTGCTCATTTTGGGAAAATTTGCTTGTATCACTGCAGTCAAACATGTCAGATTAGCCTCATTCAGGCTTGCTGCAAGATGGATAGGAAAAGGATCCACAGGTCTGTGCCATTCACTAGCTCCCACGCAGTCCAGACCCCTCAAAGTGGTCACATCTGGAAAGAAGCACTACATGCTTGTTTTAAGCAAAACATTCTTCCTGATTGGCCACAGCAGCTAACAGGCCCACAAACCTGTCTCAGCCCCTGCCGCTAGACCTTAAAGACAAGAGTATAGGATTAAGAATTGACACTGTCATGAGGAGCAATAAAGAAATTGTTGGTACAGTTTTAGGATTTGGTGATCTTGTCAATATGGTGTGTCACAGTTTGAAATTACACCGGAAGCAAAAAGGATACAAACTTAAGCTAGATTTTACTAAGTTGAAACAATATAACAGTGCTGGTTCCTGTAAAACAAGGGACTGAAGTAACAATGTATTTTCTTGAGTTATATTAGATTCTGGCTTCCCAAACACACTCCAGTAGGAGCTTGTTTTCTTCCTTCAAGCATGGAATTGACCATGCATCAACCACTGACAAAATACATGATGTCCAGACAGGACAAGCAGGATACAAGAAAAAGACTGTCAAATCCTGCCAAGACAGAGTAAGATGGTTTTGAAAAATTTTCTGCCTCTGAAAATGGTTTGTCAGTTACTCTAGGCCTTAGCCAAAGTTGGTTGCTCCAGTGTTGCAAATGAGACTTCAGGTGATTGCCCAGGTAGCCAGTTGTCTCTGTCATTTGTTGCACAGTTTGGAAGTTACTTGATTGCACTTCCTGCTTACTCAAGTAACATTATTTCCCATCTCAGGTCTTTGATGGAGTTGAAGAATATATAGTTACAGTTTTCCTTAGTTATGATAAAAGATAAAGTAGATATAAATAAATATTGTAGCTATAATCTTGATACCTGTTTTGTTATATTTAATTTTACCATATTAAAATTAAAACCTTTCTTTTTGTTTAAGCAGAAAAGGGGAGGTGATGTGGGATTCCCCTCTGTATGCTGTGATACAATTGGTTAATAAAGAAACTGTCTTGGGCCTGTACAGAGCATAATAGAAGTAGGAGGAGAAAACTAAACTGAATGCTGGGAGAAAGAAGGTGGAGTGAATGGGAAGCCATGGAGCTTCCACTAGAGAAAGACATTCTGAAACTTTGCCAGTAAGTCTTAGCCTCGTGGCGATACACAGATTAATGGAGATAGTTTAGGATATGAGAGGTAGCCAGAAATATGCTTAAGTTATTGGCCAAACAGTATTTCAAATAATATAGTTTCTGTGTAGTTATTTCGGGTTTGAGCAACCAGGAACAAACAAGCGCCCTCCTATAACACTCCCTGCCCCTCCCACCCCTGGACTTTTAATGTTTATATTGTACAAAACAGAGTTTTTGCTAAAGGGAAATACTTTGAAGACATATGCCCATTTTTCTATGCTAATCATGATTATTTTGTAATAAGGTTTTTTTATAGACTAAAAAAATAAAGATGTTTTGGTAAAAACAAAACAAAACAAAAACCCTGTAAAACTTTTGAGGTATCTAGAGCTAAAGATTTTGGTTTTAAGTTTTGTAATATTTCTCCCAATGGATACAAGATGTTAAGTAAAAAAACCCTACAATATGAGGAAGGACCATGCAGGAAAATACAGCCATCCCCTCACTCCCCCACACTCCCAGCAAAGAAGCAGATTCCCTCAGCCCTCTGTTATGACTATTGATGTCAGATCACAATGATAAGCACCTTTTTTATTGATGGATAAGCCACAGATGGTAACTTGACAGAAAACATTCACTAACCTGTATTACAGGGAAAAAAATTCCGTTCCCCCAGCAGACAGCTACTTAAGTAGATAACTGACATTTTACAGCCTAATGTCATATAAATTTCCCTTATGCAACCTACTGACTTTAGGACATTTGAAAACAATCAGCCTTTAGCCATCTTTAAGTACACTTTTCAGAAGTTTCCTGTTACAATTATGCTTATTATCAATAACACAAAAGGTGTAAACTTGTCAAGAAACTCCTTGCTTTCATTGTGTAAAGCATATCTCTCCCAAGTCACTGGCTCATGTTGGATGAAAGTGTTCTTTAAAGCCTCCATTTCTAAATTCTATTGTCTCTTTAGGACTTATTAAAGATCTGAAACTTACGGCAGATTCAGGAGTCTCTTAGTGACACCACACTGTGTGTACTAAACTGACAATAGCTACGCAGGCTGCACAGATCACATCTTGAAATGCCAAGCACGGAAAAGACATCGTAACATTTCTTGGAAAATTAATACCAAGATATTCTATTCTCTAAGCACTGTCCTTGCAAATGTGCCATTATATGAGTGATGCAACAAAACCCGTGTCCACTGTCCAGATTGCTTGTACTTTGCACCTGTAGAGTCTAGACGAGAAGATGGGAGGCATTGGGAAGCGAGGCTAGCAGCTCTGGCCATGGGCTGGGCAGGTAGGGAGCAGAGGCTTGATCTAGAGGGAAACCTGGTGGCCTGGGGAAAGAGACTGGCAGGGATACCCTCGGGACAGTACACAGCATTGCAAGCCTCAAGTGCCGTTGCGACAGGTGGGTGAGCAGTAGAGAGGAATCCCACGTTTTTTTCATTCTTTTTAAAAGTTAAGAAATTATTTGTGTATTTGAATGTGCACTTGTGTGTCAGTGCTAATGGAGTCCAAAATAGTCTGTTGGATCCCATGGAGTTGGATTCACATGTGTGAGCTGCCTGATTAGGGTGCAGGGAGCAGTGCTCTGATCCTTGATGCAAGAGCACCAAGAGCTCTGGCTTTTTGTCTGCAAGATCCTTAGATCCCTTCAAGAGACCCTGCTCCTGTGCTGAGGGGATTCGGAGAGGTGAGTAAGTGGCCACATGGCCGGACAGCCTGAAATGCCACTCTCTCTGCCAGTCCCGGGGGGACTGAATCCATGCCCCCTCTAATTCCCTAAGCTTTTCTGGGTCCACAAAGAGCTGTCCTGGAAACAGTGGCGTCAGAAAGGCAACTCAGGTGGCCACTGGTTTATCAACAGAGAAACTGAGAGCCAAAGCAGAGCCAGGACTCAGAGGAGAGTGCTCAGCCCTCAGAGACTTCTCATCTTGAAATGCCAAGCACGGAAAAGACATCGTAACATTTCTTGGAAAATTAATACCAAGATATTCTATTCTCTAAGCACTGTCCTTGCAAATGTGCCATTATATGAGTGATGCAACAAAACCCGTGTCCACTGTCCAGATTGCTTGTACTTTGCACCTGTAGAGTCTAGACGAGAAGATGGGAGGCATTGGGAAGCGAGGCTAGCAGCTCTGGCCATGGGCTGGGCAGGTAGGGAGCAGAGGCTTGATCTAGAGGGAAACCTGGTGGCCTGGGGAAAGAGACTGGCAGGGATACCCTCGGGACAGTACACAGCATTGCAAGCCTCAAGTGCCGTTGCGACAGGTGGGTGAGCAGTAGAGAGGAATCCCACGTTTTTTTCATTCTTTTTAAAAGTTAAGAAATTATTTGTGTATTTGAATGTGCACTTGTGTGTCAGTGCTAATGGAGTCCAAAATAGTCTGTTGGATCCCATGGAGTTGGATTCACATGTGTGAGCTGCCTGATTAGGGTGCAGGGAGCAGTGCTCTGATCCTTGATGCAAGAGCACCAAGAGCTCTGGCTTTTTGTCTGCAAGATCCTTAGATCCCTTCAAGAGACCCTGCTCCTGTGCTGAGGGGATTCGGAGAGGTGAGTAAGTGGCCACATGGCCGGACAGCCTGAAATGCCACTCTCTCTGCCAGTCCCGGGGGGACTGAATCCATGCCCCCTCTAATTCCCTAAGCTTTTCTGGGTCCACAAAGAGCTGTCCTGGAAACAGTGGCGTCAGAAAGGCAACTCAGGTGGCCACTGGTTTATCAACAGAGAAACTGAGAGCCAAAGCAGAGCCAGGACTCAGAGGAGAGTGCTCAGCCCTCAGAGACTTCTCATCTTGAAATGCCAAGCACGGAAAAGACATCGTAACATTTCTTGGAAAATTAATACCAAGATATTCTATTCTCTAAGCACTGTCCTTGCAAATGTGCCATTATATGAGTGATGCAACAAAACCCGTGTCCACTGTCCAGATTGCTTGTACTTTGCACCTGTAGAGTCTAGACGAGAAGATGGGAGGCATTGGGAAGCGAGGCTAGCAGCTCTGGCCATGGGCTGGGCAGGTAGGGAGCAGAGGCTTGATCTAGAGGGAAACCTGGTGGCCTGGGGAAAGAGACTGGCAGGGATACCCTCGGGACAGTACACAGCATTGCAAGCCTCAAGTGCCGTTGCGACAGGTGGGTGAGCAGTAGAGAGGAATCCCACGTTTTTTTCATTCTTTTTAAAAGTTAAGAAATTATTTGTGTATTTGAATGTGCACTTGTGTGTCAGTGCTAATGGAGTCCAAAATAGTCTGTTGGATCCCATGGAGTTGGATTCACATGTGTGAGCTGCCTGATTAGGGTGCAGGGAGCAGTGCTCTGATCCTTGATGCAAGAGCACCAAGAGCTCTGGCTTTTTGTCTGCAAGATCCTTAGATCCCTTCAAGAGACCCTGCTCCTGTGCTGAGGGGATTCGGAGAGGTGAGTAAGTGGCCACATGGCCGGACAGCCTGAAATGCCACTCTCTCTGCCAGTCCCGGGGGGACTGAATCCATGCCCCCTCTAATTCCCTAAGCTTTTCTGGGTCCACAAAGAGCTGTCCTGGAAACAGTGGCGTCAGAAAGGCAACTCAGGTGGCCACTGGTTTATCAACAGAGAAACTGAGAGCCAAAGCAGAGCCAGGACTCAGAGGAGAGTGCTCAGCCCTCAGAGATTCCACCTGACTTCTCAAAGAGGTCCATGATCAGGGAAGGATGGATCTCCTTCAGAGCTCGGTAGACTTGGTCTTTGCAGGCCCTGCTCCAGGACCGGCTGAGGCTGAACAGCTTCCGCATCTTGTCTTGGGTGGTGGCTTCAGCCCGCACTGCCTCATATTCCTCTTCCCTCAGCACCAGACCATGCAGCTTGTCCAAGAGAGGGTCCACTGATGTCACTCGGGCCACCAGCTGCTCCCGATGCTGGTCCACGAAGTGTACTGAGGCAGGAGCGTCTAGGGGTGAAGATGAGGCTGACACTGAGCATAGAAAGGGTCCTCCCTGGTCTCTCTCACTGGCTGCCCACTTCTTGCTATTTTCATGCATCTCATCTGCACCCCTGGCTCCCTTCTTCTTCTGGAAGGTCATTTGAAAAATATCTGTACCTTCCTGAGGTCAGTTACTAGTCTGGCAATTTGCATGACCAGGGGGAGGGGTTCATGGTAGGGTGTTCAGGTTGGGAATGGGTGGAGTTATTGTCTCCATGGAAAGCAGCAAAGGACATGAGAGGAACTCTGTCCTGAGCATGCACCTCTTCCACCTGTACTGGTGAAGCAGCGTGATTCCCGCCTTTCTCATTGCCATTGTCTCAAGGATCAGATAATCTACCAGCAGAATGCTATTGGCTTCTCTGGCCTCATAAAGTTGTTTCTTACCTTTGTGAACTGCAGGCATCATGAGCTGTGCAAGTCTGAGATCCCCTGGAAGAAAGGAGAGATGAAGCATCTGTAAGGATGTCTGTCACCAACACTCAGTGCTCTCTGTGCAACTCTCAGCCATGCCTGAGATTTTGAGAACGAACTACAGAAATTCTGATATAATCTGGAAGGTGAACATTTCCCTACTCATACAGGGAATCTGGGCACCAGGCCTGTCATCATTGAGGGAAGACATGTGAATGAGCAGAAGGCTTTTCTTTCACATAACCACAGCCTCTGTTGTATCCTAGACTGAATTCCTCATGGAGAAATAATCAAGTCCTTTGCTGGCTTAAATCATTTGACATTTGATTCAGGGTAGAAAGCTATTTTCTTGTCCTTGTTTGACCTTGTACACTCACAGGCAACAAAATTCTAAATTCACTCTTCTCTAACAGTTTAGGGAAGCCATCTGCAGGACTGCGTTTGTAGTATTGAAAGCCCTGGTTCCATTTGCATTAAGGAAAGATGATAGTCCTTACACTCCATGTTAAGTGGGCCATTTTGGTGCATCCTGACTGAAGCATCTAATGAAGACAATGAGTGACCACGAATTTAAAAACCAAAATTTAAGATTGAGGACACAAGAGGGCCATGATTATAACCTTCCAGTATCTGAATTCTTTCCCACATGGAAGGAACTAGATCTTAATGAGTCCCAACAAAAATAATTAACATGTAGAAGAGGTTGGCTTAAAATAAAGAAAATTAGCAACATTGCCCCCATCAGCTAAGAATCATACTATGAGATGGGTATGAACAGTATTTAACATTTCCAACCATCTTATGAGCTACTCATTCTGACCTTCAGGTGAGGAAGGTTAGCCACAAGGGAGTTAAGTCATTTTCAAGATTCCTAAGGAATAAGTGCTGGAGTGAGATTCAAATGCTGGCCTGCTGCTGGAGCAGGCCAGTTCTCCACCTGTGGCTCACTCAGCTCAAGGCTGAGCAAAACCTATTCTTTGACCATGTGTGGAGCCTGTGAGTAGCAGCTCAGAAGCAGGAACTACCACTGTCTCACAGCTAACAAGGCCTGGGCGTCTCTAGAGCTACTAATGACAGAAGCTTAGTTTTGGCATTGTGGGTCTGGATTAAGACTGTATTGTTAACTGTACTTATGAAGTTTCACTATTTGGTTATCTCTTGTCAGCTTGAAAACATGGATGAGGCTACAATAGCCAAATAAAAAAATAAGTAAAACCCACAATTTTGGACAGAAAAACCTAACCATGGAAATGAAAATACTCTATAAGAAAAAAAAAATTAAAGATAAGCATCAAAGAAAAAAATTGAGGAAGGCCTTAGAAGATGCAAAGACACCATCACTACAGCCATTGTTTGGAAGAAATCCACCTTACTAAAAGCATGCTACATACTCAAAACAGTCCCAATGAAGATGACAGGGACCTTCTTCACAAATAGAGTGGGGAAAAAAATGAGAAATACAAGTGGAAACACAAGAAATAGATGTCAAAAACAACTTTGTGGAAAGATTCATCACACCTTATTTCAAACTAATATAGGCAGTGAAAAACATGTCCAGATCAACAGAACAGAATAGACGACCTGGATAAAGTCTCCATAACCACTATTTGGCCTTTGCCACAGAATCCAAAATACCCTTTGGAGAAAGGACAGCCTGCCCAACAAAAGATACGGAAAAGACTACATGGTAACACATGGAAGAACGAAACGTCTTTCCTTTAAAAATCCAACTCCACTTGACCCAAGAGGTCAATGTGAGACCCAGTGCCCTGAAACTGGTAGAGCAAACAGAGACAGGGCATTGCAGCACAGTAGCATAAGTACGGATTGTGTGACTAAGACTCTGGCAGCCCAAGAAATAAATCGAATAACTGATAAGCTGGATCTCAAGACACTAAAAAATTCTGTATGACAAAGGAGACTCAGTGGAGTGATGATAAGGTGGAGAGAGGAAGAAACGACTTCCCAGCTAACATGAGACAGGAGATTAGGAACTAGAATACCCAACCTCTCTTCAGTCAGATAATGACCCAGAATTTACCTCCCAGATCTCTCAAACTTTATCTAAGGCTCTTAACACTCCCTGGCATTTTCATATCCCATACCATCCTCAGTCCTCAGGGAAGGTAGAACAAACTAACCGTTCCTTAAAGAATGTTGTTGTTAAGATGTCACAGGAGCTTCACCTTGACTGGGTGAAGAGCCCCTGGCTCTTCTCAGGCTCTGGCTCTGGGTTCTCCTATCAATCTCGCCCCTTGAACTCATGTATGGGTGGCTGGTTTTTAACTCCCGGCCTCTCACCTGATCACCTGCTTATGCCACTGCTATTTCATCTTTGCTCCCTATTATGGAATTTTACTGAATACTCACTACCTCAATCATACACCAACCCCTTCCCATTTCTAATTAAAATCAGAGACCAGGTCCTTTTATGCCCCCCCCCCCAAACAACCCTCACCCCTTTCCTCTAAATGGCAGGGTTCCTTTAAAGTAATTCTTGTAACTCTCAAGGGCCCTTCTCATTAGATTCACCTGTCTCATCTCAAACTTTTTTATTATTCCGGTTTGGGACACCCCCTCCTTGTATACAGTAACTCAAACAGGGCCCTGCTCCCTTAAGTTCCAGAGGACATCAAGATCAGCTACGTTTTCTCCAGTTCCAGAAGAATAAATTCTCACCACCGTACTCAACTCTCCTGTGCCAAAACTCCATATGCTCCCCTTTCTAATTCTCCCCTTTTCTCTTTCTCCTATCTGCCTTGCCAATTTCTATGTATCTCCAATGTTATACTTAAATTTCCAGTTAATCATCCAGCTGTTATTACAGGGACCATTATTAAACACAGAGCCAGAAGTACAAAGACTTTCAGAGGCCCAGGCAGTAAGAAACAATAACAAGTTTTGGGACATTCACAGCCCCAGACTCCAAAGGGAGACTCACAAAACGGGCTTTAACATAACAGGTTTATCACTGACTGCAGCAGTGTCTCCTGGATGTTAGGTAATACCATGATGCTAAAGAGAACAAGTGCCTTAAGGTTTGCTTCAGGTAAAGCATTACGAGGTCTAATAATTCCCCTTTCTTCTCTTCCCTCCTCTCCCACTATACAACTGTCTTCTATTCTAACACTATACTATCATAACCATAAGCTTTTAATATGTCTAAAACTTAGCTCTTTTTCATTCCTGGTCTTGGGACTCCTGGGAGAGTCCCTCCTCCACCTAGGGAATCCAGGGAAACCCCCCTCCATCTTCCATCTTGGGACTCTCCTCCCTCAATCACCCGGATCTATTTTTTTCTAAACATAATCTTCTACCTTGCCAGCATCTTGCCAGGTCCAAGCTGCTGGTCAGCCACTTCCGCAGAGTCCAGGATCAAGGAAGTAACCAGCTACTCCAGGACGTGGTCAAGCACCCCAACTCTCCGATGCCCACAAAGCCAGCAGAAAGCAGCCTTGAAGACCCAGTGCCCCATTTCCACCAATTGGAGACCCCTAAGTCCCCCAATTTTTTTTTATAATAAACAAAATGGTGGAATGTTATGGTTCCTATTGCACAGCGCTGTGGCCGGCACTTCTGGGCTCCAGAGCCACGCATGCACCGATCAGCGCCCAGGCAAATTAAATAGCCACCTAGGGTCCTTAGGCCCTATGTGACCTACATGCAACACGGTCGCGTCACCTATGCATGACACAGCTACATAAGCCGTTGTGTGCATGCACGGGCTCCTTCACCTATGTATGATGTAGTTATGTAAGCCACCGTGCGCATTTGCTAGGCAACCTTTAACAGCAGGAGGGGTCCAAACTCTCTCCTTGCACCAACTTCTCAGGCCTGTGTGCATGAATCTTTCTCTTTAATAAACTCTTAAAGCGGGTTGGTTTCATTGTGCGTTTCGTAATCTGTTCTCTCAGAAGTGGAAAGAATGTTGAAACAGAAGATATGGGGAAGGGCTGTGAAGTGCTCTCCTCTAAGCAGGACATGACCATGGCCATCATGGACTCATAGAGCCTGCACCTGTTGTCTCTGGACCACACAAGTAGGGCCAGCCCATCACTCAGCTGGACATGGGGAAGCTGTTCACAGGGACAGTACCACTTACTGCTAAATTATTGGCAAAAATAGATTATGAGGACAAGGGTCATCTGTATGCCTGCTGGTGAGCTCATTGGGTTTTACTGGATAGTGCAAAACCCATGGGCACACAATTGGTCCCAGTTAAACTCTGTGAGATGCAAAGCAAAACTTTATGAATGTGGAAAAGAGATTTGTATTGAAGAAGAGGGGCTGGCAGGAGTAGGAGGAAGATAAGAAGGTGGGTTTAGGGTGGAGTTACTAGAATGCACTGTATGCATGTATAAAATTGTCAATAAATTTATTTAAAAATGTGTATAGATTTGAGATTGAGTATCTCATGTAAGCAAAGTCCTTTCATCTTAAAACTGAGATATCACGTAAACTGGAGCCAGATGCTTTGTGCATCTCCAAATCTGTCACTTTAAGAGTAGTGGGGAGGAAATTAGGATACAAGACTGAGAAAATGAGACTTATAGTATGTGGTGATTTGGATATGATAATGCTCATGTGTTGAAGGACCAGTCCTGCAGTCCTATTAAAAGGTGATGGTCCTGAGGGCTGTGAATTTATGAATGACATCATACACTAATGCACTCATAATGGTGTGAGCACTGAGAACAGACACTATGTAAGAGTGTATGTACAATGGAGGCAAGACCTGGAAGAGAATATTTGCATGGACTTCATTCCTTCTCCTCCTCCTCTCCTCTTCTCTCCCCTGTCTCCTTCATTTCCCCTTTCTCTTCTCTTCCCTGGCTCTCATTCTAACTCCTGCTCCCACTTCTCTGCTTCTGAGGTAAAGAGCCTCCTCTCTCACAAGCTCCTACTCCATGGAATCCTGTCTCACCTCTGGCTCAAAGAGATGGAGGCAGCTGACCATGGACTGAAACTTGGTTCTAAGACCATGAATCAAAGCAAAACTTTCCGTTTTTAAGTTGTTTTTTGTCACATATTTTGTCAAAATTGGGAATCGCTGACTAACACAGCGTCATAGATTAAACTGTGGTCAGACCCCCAGTTTTGGATCTAGCAAAAGCCACATAACTAATCTGGTCATTTCATGACACCGATAATTAATGATAACACACCTTCCCCACTCATTGCCTTTCTTTAACCTTTGGGGTATCTGGACCTAAACAAATTTTACCTGGTTTCAGCAAGGCTTCCCATATCAGTTTCTTATTCTTCTTGTCTTTGATTTGCAGATTAATCCCTGAACCCATGCAGTCAACACAGATCTCAGAGAAGAGCTGGGATTCCCCGGGGCTCCGGTAGCACAGTTCCAGTTCCTGAAGAGAGAAAGAATTACGATGTGAGGATCAACTACTAATCCTTCAAAGGAGGGCTGTCCCCACCCCCATACTTTCACGATCTTGCTTACCACATTAGACACTGGCTATCTTTCACACTGAGGTAACCCACAGCCTTTGCATACATGTCTTTACTCAGAAGGTTGAGGACCCAACTGGGACCCCCATTCTGCCAATTCTATTCTCATCACTCCGACAAAAACCAGGCAGAAAGAAACTTAGGGAAGGGCCGATGTTGTTTAGTTTTATGGTGGGAAATTCATATAAGCTGGAGCTCCATTCTTTGTGGCAGGAGATTGTTGTAGGACTCATTATATCCCAGAGGATCAGCAAATCATACCCTGAGGTGGGAAGCAGCGCATGGCTATAAGCCTCAGGCCTGACACTAATGACATGCTTCTGATAACCAGGCCTCACATATTTGTTTCCACAAACTCTCAAGATGCTGTCACTCACTGGGGACTAAGTGTTTAAACCTGTACATCTGCAGGAGTCTTCAGATCCAAACACTAACGTCTGAGGATGAGTGAGCTCATCCTGAAAGTCAGTTCACACTGCCTAAGCCAGGACTTGCTCTCTATGCACTTTTTAGATGGATTCTCCTCTGGGACATATTGAATCTAAATTCTTAGCTCTTCAGGTTCAACCTATACTCCTGTGTGGCCCCTTAAACTGCTTTCCACCAAACTTTGGTCATCCCAAATCTCATTTGTTTTCTACCCAATTTCAATTTACTGCAGAGTCTTTAATCTGCCCCACAGGTTTACCAAGCCTGACATCTGACCCTGGAGAGTAGCAAACACTTGGATGCTCACCTTTGGGATGATTGTCAGCTTCCTGGAACCAGATATGATGTAGCGGGAACCAATATAAAGGGAGTCTACTGGGGGTGGCTTGTTTATTCGAACAAATCGGAATTTTATTTCTTCATCATCAATGGCCTAGGGAACATTGCAGACAGCAATTTATCTAGATTTCTGGGCCACAACATCTGGTCTGAATAAGGTGAGATGATCATTTAGTACACTTTTTTGGTGATTGGTTGGTGACACCTCCTGACAACTCTGTGTTCTGTAACACAGATTGTTGACTAATTGGCCCCTGTCATGTTCATTGTGGGAACAGGGTTGTTGTGCCAGAAGAAGGGAGCTGGCTACACACTGTGCATGGAGAATTCCCACCTTCTGATGGGGGAAAGAGGTCATAGAAGGACGTCCAGAGATTGGTAAATGAGCATCAGAGGCATTTGGGGGAGAATCTGGTATAAGGGGGCCAAGAACAGAGCAGAACCACACGCACGCACGCGCGCGCGCGCGCACACACACACACACACACACACACACACACACACACAGACTTTCCCCTTATAGAACTGCAATCCCACTCCCAGTTAAGAATCTCTCCAGGGGGTCCACTGTCTACATTTCATGCTTTCTGCCAGCCCACCCTGGCCTCACTTTTGTGGTCCTCAGTGTCACCTTCCGAATGGTGCAGTCATTGGGGACCAGGTAGAGGTGAAATGTCACATCCTTGGGATTGAAGTGATAGTAGATCAGTGTGATGGAAGTGATGGGGATGAAGCGTACAAAACCAGGAATCATTCTCATTACAACTCCCACTGGGGAGAAGCTTGGGTTTTCCAGCACTGCATAATGTTGTTCCACTCTGGCTGGAGTTTCTAGGACCATCCCCTGTTCTTGAAAGTGGGCCACACGGAACGAGGAGATGTCCACCTGTCCCTCTGCGAAAAAACAGATTTAAAGATGTATATTTAGTTTTTCCGTCGAGCCATTCTTGGCTAGAAAAATAGCGCCCTAGGACTTAGAATGATTGTGGTGGTTTGAACGAAAATGGCCACCATAGTTGGTGCGATTGCTTGGGAAGGAGTAAGAGGTATGCACTTGTTGGAGAAGATGTGCCACTGGGGTGGGCTTAGACATTTCAAAAGCTTGTGCTGTTTCCAATTTCCTTTCTTTCTCCTCCTTTACAATATGTAAGTTCTCAGTTACTGCTCCATTGCCAAGCCTGCCCCCTTTCTGCCATGCTTCCTGCCATGAGGGTCATGGACTCACCCTCTGAAACCACAAGACCCGATAAAATCTTTCTTCTGCAAATTTCTTTGGTTATGATTTCTATTTCATTTGTATTTACTTTTTGATGCTTATGAGAAAAACTATGATCAAAATTTAAGTTTTATTCATTAGCTTCCAGTGAGAACACAGCAGAACTCTCAGCTGTTTCTTCTGTATCTGCTCACCGTGCCAGGGAGGTGAGTGTGAGCTGCTGCCGGCAGTGACTCCCGCAGACTGACCCCCTTTGGAAGCAGTTTACCTTTGGCCCTGTCTAGTTGATAGGGGAGCATTCACAGTGGATGGAAGTTCTTGATTTTTCTCATTCACAGATGCTGTAAAGAACACAGCCCCAGACACCTCTGCCAGAAACTTGAAAATCAGCAAGTTCTTTGAGGTACTGCTGTCACCAGCTTCAGGGGCTTGGGATTTGCAGTGTTCTCTAAATTCTAAGTTGCAGAATAGAGTTTTGCTGTTATTAAAGAGACCCAAGGGTATCTTTTTATACTGAAGACAAACTGGATAGATCCCTGGGATGGTTAATGTCAAGTGAACCTGATGAAATCTAGCATCATCTTGGATGTAGGCCTCAGGGCATGAGAGGAGGAGATTATCTTGATTGAAACAATTGAGTAGCGAAGACCTATCCACTGTGTATAGCACCATTCTATGGACTAGGACCCAGGACTGTGTAAAATGGAGACAGTCACAAGAGCATGAGCATTTCCTGTTCTCTGCTTGCTCTGTCCCCACAGGCTTACAGGGGCCACAAGCTCTGTGTTCTCAGACTCCCATGTCACGGTGAACGGTTCCTCTGGACTGGTAGGAAAATAAATCCTTTCTTTCTTCAGCTTCTTTGGTCAAGTATTTTGTGAGAGTTATAAGAAAAGTTAACCTGGGCAGAATATTGGTACCAGGACTCAGGCTTTTGCTGTAATAAACACAATCATGTGGTTCCTAAGCCTCTGGAACTATTTTATGGCTGGAATGTGAAAGAGTTTTGTAGCCAGGACTAGGAACTCACTTCCATGCTGATGACAGAACTTATGGGGACATTTGGGTGGAAGCAGGAAGACAAGAATACTGAGAGAGACAGTGGAGGCCAGCCCACTGTTGCAGAGAGTAGCAAGGTTTCTATTGGGAATGGTAAAAGGATCCATTCATCCAACAGTTTAGCCAAGAATCTAGATTTATTGGGTTAATGCCCTGAATATGTGAAGATGAATTTAAACATAAGGAACTAATTTGGCGGGAGAAGCTTCAAGACAGAAAACACTCAGAATTAATTATACAAAATCAGCTGTAACTGTTAGGGATCCGTATCACTGAAGGGAAAGCTGCCCTGCACGGTGACAATAGGAAAGGTGTCTGAGGACAAAAACCTCACTCTTTGTAGGCTCGTGTTGTGAAGATCCAAATCCATTTAAAGGCAGAAAAGCCTTTTTAGTTATGTTGTTCCACATATGCAAATGCCCGTGGAAGTGTTTCCCCATGGCCAGCACATCTTACAGCTATCGTCCAGGGGAGCAGGGCCAGGCCACATCTCAAGCTACCAAGAGAACTTGGCAGTGTCATCCCTGTAGTTTTTTTTTTTTATTTTTTTTAGGGTTGCTAGATTGATGAATCATCACCGAGTGATGCTGCACAGTTGCAGATGGCAGCTGAGGAAAGTCAATGCATCTGTATCGAATATCCTGCAAGGATCCTGAGAGCTCATTCCATGGACCTTTGAAAGTGAATTTTAAGGTGGAATGGAAATCCTTGGGTGTTGTAAAAACCAGACCCACATATTTTCTGCTAAATAAAGTTTTAGGCAAGAAGTAGAGAGATGGTCTAAGGAGAGGCTATGTGTGCTTCATGTGATAGAACTGGAGGGGTGGAGTTGTTTGGAGTCCAGTGAATGACATAATGAGTTTAATAGCCAGACATGAGGCTGCAGGATTTGGTGTTTATGCTGACAGAGTTTTGTCTTGTTGTGGTCTGATCATTTGATTTCCTGGATACAGGGATTTACTATGTATCTCCAGGTAGAAGTCACCCTACTCTTGCCCAGCCTTCAGAACTCTGGGATCACAGGTGTGTGCCACCACCCTGTGACTGTCCTCCAGTAAATATTGTTCTTCTATAAGTTTTAACAGAATCATACACACACACACACACACACACACACACACACACACACACTTTTCCAACTGTGTAATTTTTTGATCTGAGAGTGGGGGGTAGGAAATAGGAAAGGTGGTGGCCTGCAGGGAAGAGCTTGAGTGGTGACTGGGGAAATGTTGTTCTTAGAGAGACCAGGAGCTCTGTGTGGACCTGCTGGACTGGCCACCATCTGGGTAGCAGTGCTCCTGTGTCAGGGTCTGGAGTGCAAGACCTCATGAGTTTATGAATGTAACTGATGGAGGAAGGTCATTGGTTAATTAAATAAAGAAACTGCTTGCCCTGATAGGTTAGAACATAGGTGGGTGGAGTAAACAGAACAGAATGCTGGGAGGAAGAGGAAGTGAGCTCAGAGACGCCATGCTCCCCTCTCCCAGGCAGACGCGATAGCTCTGCTCTCTGAGGCAGACGCATGCGATGAAGCAAGCTGCCAGGTCAGACATGCTGAATCTTTCCCAGTAAGACTGGTGCTACACAGTTTATTAGAGATGGGTTGACCGGGATATCAGAAATAGCCAGTAAGGGCTAAAGCTAATGGGCCAAGCAGTGTTTAAATGAATACAGTTTGTGTGTTGTTATTTCGGGGCATAAGCTAGCTGGCAGCCAGTGTGCCACAGCCCCGCCGCTCCTATTACTACATGTAACTATTGTCTTTCTTTGTTTTGTGAGTTCTTTTCAACTGAGTCCTGCTTGTTTACTTCATCTTCATTTGTTTTCTTCTTGGGGCTTGGCATTAAATGAGAATATTTTTAATCTGAGGGATACTTTGCTTTCTATTCATGGTTCTTATATCACCTGGAACTGTCTGCATTTCTACTTTAGCTTTTATGACTTCTTCAACTGTCAGGTCTTCCTTCTTGGACCTACTCCTCATCTTCATCACCATGAACAAACACCATCTCCATCTGCAGTGAACTGGATTCTCCTGGTGTCTATGGGGAGCAGATGGCTGTACTCCTTGAAGCAGGAGAGGAAGTTGGTCTCAGTATCCACTGTACAACACCTTGTTCCTTGATGTTGCTTTTCTCTTTCATAGACATAGTCTTGCTGCATAGTTCAGGCTGCTCTTGAATTCTAAATTCTCCTGCCTCAGCCCCAGGAGTTCTTGGTTACAGACATACAGTAATGGCTTTCTTTATGAGATCTGTCACTGAGAACATTGTATATATTAAAACAATGTTCTTTTTGGTCACATGCTGTGGTTGTTTAGCTTGGTGTTCTTGTGGTACTCCTAACAGTGGGAGTGGGCTGTCTCTGATTCCTTTTTTTTCTGTTCTTAGAACCATTTTTCCTCTTACCAGATTGCCTCATCTACCTTTGATATGAGGGTTTGTGCTTAGTCTTACTGCAACTTTTATGCTGTCTTTGGTTGATATCACTTTGACCCTAGCTATTTTCTGAAGGGAAACAGAGGGGAGGGGAAGGCAAACTGTGTGGAACAGAGAGAGGGAGGCTGCAGTTTGAGATGTATGTTATGAGAGAAGAATGAATAAAAATAAAAATAAATCTTCAGAAGGATTCTTTGGAAATCATAGAGGTTGGGACACTTTGTGAGTTCCTCTCTTAGGAAACTCTTTTTCTGTTTTTCCTGTTCTCAAGTGGAATCTGGTGACATCATTTTCTCCCTGCCAGTAGCAGTGTAAGGACTTACAGTGTTGGCAGACCCTGAATACCAAATGATTCTTGTTAGTTTTCTTACTCCTACATTGCAACAATCTCTTTAAATTTCTCAGTTATTCTCAGTTCTGTGCTGGGTCCCCGAGGACTAGATGTGTAAAGAACATTTAATAATCATCAACTAATTTGCTACTGAGGTCATCACTTTCTACTCAGGGACTCCATAAGGTAAAGAAGAAAGAAAGTCTTAAGGCTGGGAGACATGTGCTTCAAAGAGGGGATGAGAAAACAACTCAGTGTCCACCTTCACAGTCTGCTCTGCCTCACTAAGGAAGCCATAGACCTTCCCTCGTTACTATCACCCTGTGCTCTGCTATAGGACATGGCAGGTCCTCCCATCAGCTCCACCCGACTCCTTATGCTTCCCTTGGTTACCTTGGAGATCCACAAAGTGAGGCAGGTACACAGCAGCCACAGCTCCCCGCTCAGTCTTGATGTCAAACAGAGGCCCAGCCACCATGTGACTGTCCGGCAAGGGAGTCTTGTTCAGGTGTTGGCTCCAGGCACAGAATCCAATCTCAATGGTCACTGCCCTTGTCACCACAAAGTGGAGTCCTGTGCTGGGACAGTGGTAGGAACCAGGCATAGGGAACTGAACTCTGGAAGAGGGAGAGGCAGACACCAGTGAACACAAACCTGCAGCAGTTAGATATTCTGTGATGATGAAATAGGTCCTCTCTCTCTCTCTCTCTCTCTCTCTCTCTCTCTCTCTCTCTCTCTCTCTCTGTGTGTGTGTGTGTGTGTGTGTGTGTGTGTGTGAGAGAGAGAGAGAGAGAGAGAGAGAGAGAGAGAGAGAGAGAGAGAGAGATTGTGTGTGAGTGTGTGTGTATGTGTGTTAAGTTCTGGGGATCCAGCTAGGACCTTGCTCACTCGAAAAGGTTCTACCACTGAGGTTCATCTTCATTTTTTAGACTTTGTGTTCTTGAAGTTAAGAGACAAGAGAACCCAAATATAAGGAGGGAGCTGATACTCATTAAAACATGGATAAAATAATCTGCAGAAAACCACAATTAAGATAATAAGCAAAGTTGAACACAGACTGTTTAGATGGAACGAAGGACTCACATCAGCTCTGTTTATGTGGTAATTGTGTGCTGGTCACGGAAGACGAGGTCCTGTCTTATGTACAGGGGAGGCATAGGGAAATGTTTGTGGGTGAAGAACAAGGAAGACGAGGTCCTGTCTTAACTGTGGGAGGTTCTAGTGAAATGTTTATGTTTAAATCACCTGATTCCTTGACTCACACTACTGTGACAGTGATAACAAAGGGGGAATATGAGTAGTTGAAATGAATTTGGAAAAATGGCTGCTGGAGCTGAGTAACTGGACAGGGAAGTTCTTGTGCTCTCCAGTTTTGTAAATATCTGAAAATTTTATGAAAAAGATCCTTTTTTTTTTATAACAACCCAAACTTCCTATTCCAGTCCTAGCCTTGCTTCCTGAGTTGGTGAGGTGAGGAGGAGACACAGTAGAGACTAGGTAGATGCTAATTGTGGGGGATCCCTTGTGGAAAGTGCTGGGGAAAGCCAACCTTTGCCAGGCAGAACTCACTCACCGATATGAGTTCCTCTCTCCATCAATCACCTCAGCAGTCACAGGCCCTGAGGTACCCCAGAAGTCATCATCAGTCCCCTGTGGCTTCATGTGTTTGTGTCCTGGAGAGGCAGGGGAAGATGGATGAAAGGGCTACAGTTGTGCAGGTATTCCTCCTCTAGAAGAGGCCAGGTAGTGCTCATTCCGTGTCTCCTCAGCTTTCTTTTCCGGGTTGACCAGCCCTGAGTTTACCTGCATGCTATCTATCTATCTATCTATCTATCTATCTATCTATCTATCTATCCATCTACATACATACATACATACATACATACATACATATATACACACACAAACATATAGTATTGTTTTCTTACTGCTACTTGCATTTTGAGCAACCATAGCACCCCCATATCTGCTCCCAATCCAGTTGTTATGTTTCATTTCCTATTGATCCAGAAGTGTTGGTTGTGGGTGGCCACAAGGAGATTTGGAGTGGGCAGATACAGGGGTAGAAATGATATAAATACAGTACTCATACTCATGTTCAAAATTCTAAAAAGATAACAAAATAATTTTTAAAAAGAAAAATATGATGACTTCCTCCCACAGGTGCCTCTTCATCCAACAGTCATGACGCTCTGGGTCTGAACCCTTCACATACCTGCCTGTAGTCTCTGCTGCTTGGTTGAGATCGGGGTCTCACCCATTTCTTCTCCATCTGGGTCCTTAGTGGGTACACGTGACTTCCTACACATAGATATGTTCTTTCTCTCAGATGTCAGGAGAAACATGATATTCCCACATAAAATCTAAGTCTTTGAATTGTGACTCAGTCATATGTTTCTTTTCTGGGCCAGAACTCTATGAAGACCCTATTCTCCTAGGCATCCATGACCCAGACCTGGGATCATCTCGACCCCTTCTTTGCTTTAATTTGAATGTGTTCCCCAGTGTTTACTCATTAGAAAGTTAACCCCTAATGTCACAGTGTGACAGGATGAAGGATAAGACACAATGAGGTCACGAGTGCTCTGCTGTCATGAAGGGGTTAATGACATCATTACAGGAGTAGATTCCTGTGCCCTGACAGGACTTGTCACAAAAGTCACATTGGCCTTTCACTCTCAGCCCTCCCAGTTGCACAATCAGATGGAACAGGAAGAAGGATTTTTTAGATGTAGAGTCCATGCTCTTGCCTTTCTCTGTATTCAGAACTGCAAAACTAATCTCAATTCTTTATGATACATGCCCAATGTCAGACACTGTGTTAAAGCTGCACAAAATAATCATTCACCCTGAATGACAATCACCTAGACATGACCTTCTGAATCTCTCTCTTTTCTGTTTTCTATTTTCCCCTTCCACATACTCTATTCTTGTCCCAGGATGGAATGAGCATTGTCCTGAACCTCTCACAGGCATCCCTGCTTCTGATCTGGTCCCTTCTTGCTCATTTTCTACATAGTAGCTGACCATATAAAATGAATGGGTGGAGATGCCCCTTCATGACTGAACCACTGGGCTGCCTCTCATTTTCTCTGGAGAGGAAAAGAAGGTTCTTAGTATGGTCCATAGACTTTGCTGTGGCTCCTGTCCACCTCATGACCCTCCTATGTCACTCTTTCTTGCTCAAATCTAGACCAGTGTCTCTCAAATCACTGTGTGAAAAATGTCACCTGTACAGGCTAAATTAGAAAGCTCACTAAAAGAAGCTGCCCCTCCTGAGATTCTGAGTCAGCAGGGATGGAGTGGGGTTTGAGAACCTGCATTTCTGTGGAGCTTCCTGGTGATGGTGAGGCAGAGCAGATGGTCTCACACATGGTTTCCTGTCCCTCAATGGAGCTATTCTCTCTGCTTTCTTAAAGCCTCTATGTCTGGATCTCCATGGGAGCAGGAGTGGATTCAGACCAGGGACATTTGCAAAGGCAGGACTGAGCCAGTGACCTGGGCCAGAGCAGACCTGAGACAACAAACTCCATAGGAACAGGTACAGGGGACAACCACTGAGTGAGTGAACCAGTGCCAGAGACTATTGCAGGTCTGGACACGAATCTGGGACCTCCAAGGGAGTAGATCAGAGCCAGAGACCTTTGCAGGACCAACCTCAAGCCAGGGAACTCTGCAGGAATGGATCCAGATCAGGGATGTTTACAGAAAGAGGTCTGAGCCAACAAACTGGGCCAGAGCAGTCCTGAGACAGTAAACTCCATGGGAGTAGAGCAAAGCATGGGAGCACTGAGTGACCAGCAGGAACACAGAGTGACCAACAGGGTAACTAGAACTGTGGCACTGACTGTACCACAAGGAAAAACCATCTGAGCCTTGGATCCACTGGTACCTAGAAGATTGATAATCAGAATCACAGACATCCCCAACCACACCAATTAGAGGAAAAGATGAGTAGACAAGGTAAGAACACACACAACACCACAAAGAGCAACACAACACCAGCAAAATCTAGAGACCTTACAACAGCAAGACTTGAACAACCAAATATAGATGAAGCAGAAGAAAATGACCTAAAAAATAACTTCAGGAGAATGTTTGAAACTCTTAAAGAGGAAATGAGAAATTCCCTCAAAGAAATGGAGGAAAAGACAAACAAAAAAATTGGAAGACATCAGCAAATCTCTTAAAGAAAACCAAGAAAAAGCAATCAAACATATGAAAGAAACTATTCAAGACTTGAAAACTGAAATAGAGACAATAAAGAAAACACAAGCTTACTCCTTAATGTATTTCACAATATAGAATCAGAAGAGTCATTGCCAAATTCCTTTTATGAAGCTACAGTTACCCTGATACCAAAACCACAAAAAGACCCAACCAAGAAAGAGAATTACAGAGCGATCTCACTCATGAACATCGACGCAAAAATTTTCAATAAAATACTGGCAAACCGAATCCAAGAACACATAAGAAAAATTATCCATTATGATCAAGTAGGCTTCATCCCAGAGATGCAGGGCTGGTTCAACATACGCAAATCTATCAATGTAATCCACCATATAAATAAACTGAAAGAAAAAAACCATATGATCATTTCACTAGATGCGGAAAAAGCATTCGACAAAATTCAACACCCCTTTATGATAAAGGTCTTGGAGAGAATAGGGATACAAGGGTCCTACCTAAATATAATAAAAGCTATTTACAGCAAGCCAACAGCTAACATTAAATTAAACGGAGAAAAACTCAAAGCCATCCCACTAAAATCAGGAACACGACAAGGATGTCCACTCTCTCCATACCTCTTCAATATAGTGCTTGAAATTCTAGCAATAGCAATAAGACAACATAAGGAGATCAAGGGGATTCGTATTGGAAAGGAAGAAGTTAAGCTTTCGTTATTTGCAGATGATATGATAGTGTACATAAGCGACCCCAAAAATTCTACCAAAGAACTCCTACAGCTGATAAACAGCTTTAGTAATGTGGCAGGATACAAGATCAACTCCAAAAAATCAGTTGCCTTCCTATACACCAAGGATAAGGAAGCAGAGAGGGAAATCAGAGAAGCATCACCTTTCATGATAGCCACAAATAGCATAAAATACCTTGGGGTAACCCTGACCAAGGAAGTGAAAGATCTACTTGACAAGAACTATAAGTCTTTGAAGAAAGAAATTGAAGAAGACACCAGAAAATGGAAAGACCTCCCTTGCTCTTGGATTGGGAGGATCAACATAGTAAAAATGGCAATTCTACCAAAAGCAATCTATAGATTCAATGCAATCCCCATCAAAATCCCATCAAAATTCTTCACAGATCTGGAGAAGACAATAATCAACTTTATATGGAAAAACAAAAAACCCAGGATAGCCAAAACAATCTTATACAATAAAGGATTGTCTGGAGGCATTACCATCCCTGACTTCAAACTCTATTACAGAGCTACAGTATTGAAAACAGCTTGGTATTGGCATAAAAACAGAGAAGTCGACCAATGGAATCGAATAGAAGACCCTGACATTAACCCACAAACCTATGAACACCTGATCTTCGATAAAGGAGCTAAAAGTATACAATGGAAAAAAGAGAGCATCTTCAACAAATGGTGCTGGCAAAACTGGATGTCAATCTGTAGAAGAATGAAAATAGATCCATATCTATCACCATGCACAAAACTCAAATCCAAATGGATTAAAGACCTCAATATCAGTCCGAACACACTGAACCTGATAGAAGAGAAAGTGGGAAGTACTCTACAGCACATGGGCACAGGAGACCACTTCCTATGTATAACCCCAGCAACACAGACACTAAGGGCATCATTGAATAAATGGGACTTCCTGAGGCTGAGAAGCTTCTGTAAAGCAAAGGACACTGTCACTAAGACAAAAAGACAACCCACTGACTGGGAGAAGATCTTCACCAACCCTGCAACTGACAAAGGTTTGATCTCCAAAATATGTAAAGAACTCAAGAAACTAGACCGTAAAAGGCTAATCAACCCAATTATAAAATGGGGCACTGATCTGAACAGAGAATTCTCAACAGAAGAACTTCAAATGGCCAAAAGACACTTAAGGTCATGCTCAACTTCCTTAGCGATCAGGGAAATGCAAATCAAGACAACTTTAAGATACCACCTTACACCTGTCAGAATGGCTAAAATAAAAAACACCAGTGATAGCCTTTGCTGGAGAGGTTGTGGAGAAAGGGGTACACTCACCCATTGCTGGTGGGAATGCAAACTTGTGCAACCACTCTGGAAAGCAGTGTTTCGGTTTCTCAGGAAATTCGGGATCAACCTACCCCTGGATCCAGCAATACCACTCTTGGGAATATACCCAAGAGAGGCCCTATCATACAACAAAAGTATATGCTCAACTATGTTCATGGCAGCATTGTTTGTAATAGCCAGAACCTGGAAACAACCTAGATGCCCTTCAACGGAAGAATGGATGAAGAAAGTATGGAATATATACATATTAGAGTATTACTCAGCAGTAAAAAACAAGGACTTCTTGAATTTTGCATACAAATGGATGGAAATAGAAAACACTATCCTGAGTGAGGTAAGCCAGACCCAAAAAGAGGAACATGGGATGTACTCACTCATATTTGGTTTCTAGCCATAAATAAAGGACATTGAGCCTATAATTCATGTTCCTAGAGAAGCTAAATAAGGTGAATCCAAAGACAAACACATAGGCATCCTCAGGAATATTAACCTTCATCAGGCGATGAAAGGAGACAGAGACAGAGACCCACACGGGAGCACCGGACAGAAATCTCAAGGTCCAAATCAGGAGCAGAAGGAGACGGAGCACGAGCAAGGAACTCAGGACCACGAGTGGTGCACCCACACACTAAGACAATGGGGATGTTCTATTGGGATCTCACCAAGGCCAGCTGGCCTAGGTCTGAAAAAGCATGGGACAAATCCGGACTAGCTGAACATAGCGGACAATGAGGAATACTGAGAATTCAAGAACAATTGCAGTGGGTTTTTGATCCTACTGCACGTTCTGGCTTTGTGGGAGCCTAGGCAGTTTGAATGCTCACCTTACGAGACCTGGATAGAGGTGGGCAGTCCTTGCTGATTGCTCTTCGAGCAGATGAGGGGGGGGACTTGATCGGGGGAGGGGGAGGGAAATGGGAAGCGGTTGTGGGGACGAGGCAGAAATCCTTAATAAATAAATAAATTAAAAAAAAAAAGAAAACACAAGCTGAGGGAATCATAGAAACAGAAATAATGAGAAAACAATCAGGAACCACAAACGCAAGCATAAACAGCAGAA